ATGTCATGGACAATATTACCAGGCAGAACCAATTCTATGAGAGCCAAGTCATCAAACAAGAGAACGAGGCTGGCTATGACAGAAGACCACTGGAAATGGAGCCACAGCAGCGGGCCTATCGCCCAGAAATGAAGACAGAAATGAAACAGGAAGTACCCACCAGCTTCCTACCCTCTGAAGCATCTCAATCCAAGCCAGACAGACTACAATTCCAGGGTCGTAAGAGGCCTTATGAAGAAAACCAGGGACGGGGGTACTTTGAGCACCGAGAGGATAGGAGGGGCCGCTCTCCTCAGCCTCCAGCTGAAGAAGATGAAGAGGAATTTGATGACACCCTTGTTGCCATTGACACATATAACTGCGACCTTCACTTTAAGGAGTAGCGGCTATCCGCTCACAATTGAGGGATTTGCATACCTATGGTCAGGAGCCCGAGCCAGCTATGGGGTCAGAAGGGGTCGAGTGTGCTTTGAAATGAAGATCAATGAGGAAATTTCCATGAAGCACCTTCCATCTACAGAGCCTGACCCACATGTTGTCCGTATTGGCTGGTCCCTGGACTCCTGCAGCACTCAGCTAGGCGAAGAGCCTTTCTCCTATGGCTATGGCGGCACTGGGAAGAAATCCACCAATAGCCGGTTTGAAAACTATGGAGACAAGTTTGCAGAGAATGATGTGATTGGCTGCTTTGCGGACTTTGAATGTGGGAATGATGTGGAACTTTCCTTTACCAAGAACGGAAAGTGGATGGGCATTGCCTTCCGAATCCAGAAGGAAGCTTTGGGAGGCCAACCCCTCTACCCTCATGTCCTGGTGAAGAATTGCGCAGTGGAGTTTAACTTTGGCCAGAGAGCAGAACCCTACTGTTCCGTCCTCCCAGGCTTCATCTTCATCCAGCACCTTCCCCTTGGTGAGCGGATCCGGGGCACTGTTGGACCAAAGAGCAAGGCAGAATGTGAGACTCTGATGATGGTAGGCCTGCCTGCTGCTGGCAAGACCACATGGGCCATCAAACATGCTGTCTCCAACCCCTCCAAGAAGTACAACATCCTGGGTACCAATGCCATCATGGATAAGATGCGGGTGATGGGCCTGCACCGACAGCGAAACTATGCTGGCCGATGGGACGTATTGATCCAGCAAGCCACCCAGTGCCTCAACCGCCTCATCCAGATCGCAGCCCGCAAGATCAGACAAATGTTTATGGATCTGCCCAGAGACGAAAAATGAGACCATTTGAAGGCTTCCAGCGTAAAGCTATTGTCATTTGTCCCACCGACGAGGACCTGAAGGACCGAACAATAAAGCGAGCGGATGAGGAAGGAAAGGATGTCCCTGATCATGCTGTGTTAGAAATGAAAGCCAACTTCACGTTGCCAGACGTAGGGGACTTTCTGGATGAGGTCCTGTTCATTGAGCTGCAGCGTGAGGAAGCAGACAAGCTGGTGAGGCAGTACAACGAAGAAGGACGCAAGGCCGGGCCACCCCCTGAAAAGCGGTTTGACAACCGTGGTGGTGGTTTCCGGGGCAGAGGAGGTGGAGGTGGTTTCCAGCGCTACGACAACCGAGGGCCCCCTGGTGGCAACCGAGGAGCCTTTCAGAACCGAGGTGGTGGTGGCGGTGGAGGCAGCAACTACCGAGGAGGTTTCAATCGAAGTGGCGGAGGTGGCTACAACCAGAACCGCTGGGGTAACAACAACCGGGATAACAACAACTCCAACAACCGAGGCAGCTACAATAGGATCCCTCAGCAACAGCCACCACCACAGCAGCCCCCACCACCACCCAGCTACAGCCCTGCTCGGAACCCCCCCCTGTGCCGAGCACCTACAACAAGAACAGCACCATCCCTGGCTCCAGCGCCAATACCAGCACCCCTACCGTCAGCAGCTACAGCCCTCCACAGCCAACTTACAGCCAGCCACCCTACAACCAGGGAGGTTACACCCAGGCCTACACAGCCCCACCACCTCCACCTCCACCACCACCTGCCTACACCTACGGGAGCTACGGCGGGTACACCCCGGCCCCCTACACCCCGCCGCCACCTCCCACCGCACAGACCTACCCTCAGCCCAGCTATAACCAGTATCAGCAGTATGCCCAGCAGTGGAACCAGTACTATCAGAACCAGGCCCAGTGGCCGCCATATTACGGGAACTACGACTACAGTAGCTACGCTGGGAGCACACAGGGCGGCACGAGCACACAGTAGCCAGGGCACCCGGAGGTCCTGCCCGCTTCTCTACCAGCGCCACCTTGGCCCAGCTGATGCCCCCACTGGGTCGTGTGGTGCTGGAAGACAGGTCGTCCCAGGGCTGACTCCCTCCAGCCAGCTGCCTCCCAACTGAGGGCTCCACACAAGGGGCCTGGCATTTCTCTGGATTCAAACAGGCAACAATGAGCTTTTATCTTCTGTTTGTTCCCATGTCCTCCTCTTCCTCCTCCCTTTTTGACTAAAAAGCCTTCCCCTCCCTTGGTACAGTGAAGCTGGGTGACTGAGGACTCCTGCTGTTCACACTCACTCAGCCCCACCCTCGGCCCTTCATCTTCCCAGACCCTCATGCAATTTGTTATAAATTCTTCCAGGAGCTGTTTTACTGTCTACTTTTCAGGATTTAAAAAAAAAAAAAGAAAAAAAATTGAAAACTTAAAAAAAACCCAAAAACAAACAAACCATCAACCCATGAGCAAAATGCAGAGAGGAGGCAGTGACAGATCTTTTTTCTTTTGTAATTATGTTTTCCCTCTTCCTTTTTTTTTTTTTAGTTTGAGAATTTGTCAATTTTTACTGTGGGTCAACTATTGATAGGCTATTTCATCTCTTTGCTGACTTCAGGTGACTGAGGAAGAGCCACACCCTCAAAAAATACACAAAAAAAACCCCCAACAAACCAAAAAGCCACCTTTGACCTAACTTTTTATACAATGTCTCGGTTCCCCATAACTTTGCACACAGCTTCTGTGTTCAGTTGAATTGTAACTACTTTTTGTATTTGGAGAGAGTGTGACTATTGAACTTGAAACCTTTAAAAAAAAAAAGCTCTGAGAGGGGCAATCTCTGGTGGCCTAGTGACAGGAAGCTGCAGTGCAATCTCCAAGGTGTGCGGTTCAAATCCACCAGAGGCTCTGCTGGATAGGAGGGGCAATCTGATCTTGTAGCAGTCAGATCCTACTTGATGGTACACACACAAAAAAATAATAAAATTAAAAAGAAAAACAACACAACAACAGAAAAAAGAAAAGGCTCTGATAAGGTCTGCAGTAAAGAAATGGAATCGTGGCAAGAAGCTGCTCTGCAATCCCAGAGGAGAGCGGTTCAAATCCACCAGACGCTCTGCTGGAGAAGGAGGGACAATCTCCTCCTGTACCAGTCAGATCCAACTTGACGATATACACACACATTAAAAAAAGAAATTAAAAAAAAATGGAATCATATTTTACATGACTTCAAAGGCATTGGACCTGAAGTGCTTGCTACAGAAAATCAAGAATTGCAGCCTCGTATATGGATTGAAGCTTAACATCAAGAAAGCAAAGATTCTCACCACTGGGCCAAGTTAAAATCCTACAGAACCGAGGTTCCTTGAAATATATACTGAGAGTGACTTGTGTCCTAGGGAGCCATTGAAGGCTCCTGAGCAGAGGAGTCAGTACAGTCATATGTGTTTTACAGATTGAGGTTTTTCGTGCTTTGTGGGCACATCTTTCCCCGTGGCACTCACCTTACCAAGTGCTATGGAAATTGTTAGTTGTCTAAACTAAACCCATCTATTCTCTTTAAAGCCCCTTGCTGCCTCTATAGTCCTTAATGCATTCTGTTATGGAACAGAAATGAATTGATTGGCACGGTAACCACAGACACTGACGTGATGACTTATTAGCATTCTTCCTTAATTAGCTCCTTGGCGAAGCTAGTCCCTCTAAGCAGGAAGAGCAGATAGGATGCATAGCAGAAATGTGAGGGCGGGGAGGTATTTTAAGCTGTCAGAAAGCCTAGAAGTCTGCAGATAAGAGCGTCCACCTGTCCACCCACTGCCTGCCAGTGAAGATGCCATCACAGTCTGTGACACACTCACTGGGCCCATATCAGACCAAATTAACCTGCCATCAACCTTCTGAGTCAGACAGAGGGCCTCTCCCTCACCCTGGCCCCGCCTCCCAGCCGCTGAGATGACAGCTCATCTCGCGAGTGGGCCCCGCTGAGTTTAGGAGCCTTTTAACACAGAGCCACTGTGTTCTGCTTCTCTCACGCTTTCTGCTTTGGGGAGGCCGCTGGTTGGATTTTTCTTTGCAAAGTCAGCGCCACGCTAAACTAATTTTGTTCATCTGTGCTTTCCTCTAGATTCAGTACTCTCCTGGGGACCTTACCTGTACAGCATGGTGAGTAGGCGGGGCCTCACCTGCTCGGGTTTTCGGTCCCGCCCTCAGTAAGGAGGAGGCCAGTCAGGTTTGTCTGTGTGGTTAACGCTGCCATTAATATAATGGCTCCTGCTCTTTGGGGACCACAGGCCACGTCATACTGGGGCTGATAAGCCTCAGCCTCAGGGGCAGAGTCATCAACGCTTATCCTCTCTTTCTAAGCACAAGAAACAATATTTAAAAAAAAAACAAAACAAAACAATGTTTTTGTTCTTTCATGATGAAAATATACATAACATATGTCACCACAATGATTTCCACATGTACAACTCGATGACATTGAAGACATTCTTCAAAGGCTTTCTAACCACACTCTTGCTATCCTGTTCCAAATCATTCTACTTCAGTTGGCATAAAGTCAATTTCCTCTCAGCAAAATCTCCACCTCTTCCTTTTGGTCTTATCCGCAGTAACCATTAACAATCTTTAGTTTCTATATCTTTGTTTCTTTCATGTGAGACACTATTATTTATTTGCACATGACTTTGTTTTGCTGAGCATGAGGCTTCCAAGGTTCAACTGTGTTGTGGCTTATAAGAAATAACCTTTTTAAAAATCTTCTACCTTTTAGAAAAATGTTTTATTTTGGCCGAGAATATACACAGCAAAACCTGCACCCGTCCCAACGGTATCTCACTGTTACTGACACCGATTACTTGCTGAGTTGTGTAATCATTCCCCCCTCCTTTTCTGAATGCATCTTCCTCCATGAGCATAAACTCACTCTCCCTAAAGTTCCTGTGTCGTCGTCTGAGTTGCTGTTGTCAATTTGGCCCCTAATTGTAAGGCCATTCTCCTACATAACTGCAAGGCTATTATCTTCCCTGAGAAAAGGAATCATTTCTTTTTTTTCTTTTCCACAAAAATAATATTTATTATACTTTTTGCACATGACACTGCTAAAACATTTCTATTATAGAATCATTTCTTAATATAATCTAAGATCTAGTCCATTCTCAAACTTCCCCACTCTTCTCCAGAATATATTTTATAGCTCTTGTCTTTGAATCATCTTCTGGCTAAGATTAGTGGTCACACTAAACATGGTTTTAAGGTGGACAGCTCTAATGAAGTAAATATACTGGTGGTGGTTACATGTTCATGTGTTTTGTAAAGTGTAAAGCGTAGAATCAGTAGAATCTGCTGTGAACTGTAGGTGGTGATGTGCCTTCATAGGGAAGCTCCCCTTTCTCTGTCCTCTCTTTCCCTCACCTTCCTTGTTCTGGGTTTGCATTCTAGTCTCTTCTGGATGACCAGGGTCTGGCTAAGGTGTCCAGTATTGCCGAGCAAGTCCTGAATGCTATAAGCAGTGAGAAATACAAGGAAGCCACCCAGCTGTGGGGCAAAGCAGAATTGGTCATTGAACAGGTAAAGGGGGACATGGCTGGGATAACCCATTTGATTTCTTCCCAAGTGTACAGGACTTGGGGAGCCCGGGGCAGGGAGCGGGGGGTTTGTGGGGGTGGGCGGGAAGGATTCACGTGGTGAGTATTTACAGAAGTGGGATCTATCCTGAAATTTCCACCTATTCTAAAAATTATTGCAAGTCAGAACAATAAACTGTGTGGTTAATGCCAGACAAGTCAGAGCAGCAATACTGTAGCCTTCTTTGTTGTTGTTAGATGCTGATGACCGATAGAGACTCTATGTGACAGGGTAGAATGGCCTCATAGGCTGTAATTGTTAGGAGAGCTCTGGTGGTCTAGTGGATATGGACTTGTTTTGCCAATCCAATGTTAGGCAGTTTGAATCTACCAGCTTCTCTGAGAGAGAAATCGCCACTCATAACTCTTTATAGCCTCTGCAAACCTTCTGAAGGATCGTTGTGAATCAGGTCGAACTTGACAGCAATGTGAGTGGGAAAGGGAGAGAGGGAGGATCTTTAGGGAGCAGATTGGCAGTTTTTTCTATTCTGGAACTACCAGGCAGTTAGAAGGGCCAACATTTCTGTTTTCAGCTTAGTGCCTAACCACTGAACCACCAGGACATAGCCCTTTCACAGCATTAGAAAGCTGCACAGGCCTGTCCTGTCCCTTAGTTGAATGTATCGATTATATAAGAAAGAGTAAGATCTGCAGAGGGCAGTGTATAGTTTGGAGTCCTATATCCTTTATTTCAAGGCTCTCAAAGCAACATTCTGACTCCAGTACGGCGTGGCCAGCACTGTTCTCGTGTAAATGAACTCAGGCCCCTGGTTTTCTAGGACATGAACTTGGTTCGTGTGAACTGTTCTCCACCAGTGAGAGAGTGGACCTGCCCGGCTTGTTTCTGAGCTGTCAGTCAGAGCTGTGTTTCTTGTTCTCCGAACGAATTGACAAAGCTAAACTGTCCTTGGATAAGCTAGGTGGACACTCTTTCTGTTTAGAAACTTTAGTCATGGGCAAATGAGGAAAACAACAGCCAAACATGCTTTCATTTTTCAGAACACGGATGGGGTGAACTTCTACAACATCTTAACTAAAAACACCCCCATGTCTGCAAAGGAGTCGAGTCTAGAATTCACCCAGAGCCATCTAGGTGAGTGCATCTGGGAGTCTGGTAGACCCTCTGCCATCCTACTGGCAAAGGGATACCAAGTTTTTGAAATCACTTTATTAACATAGGGAACTTTGGGGGTCTAGTGTCTAGTGAAGGTTGTACTGCTAAATCCACTGGCAGCTCCATGGGAGAAAGATGAGCAGTCTCCTCCTGTGCAGTTTGCAGCCCCTGAAAATCAGCTGGAGGGTCAGCTAGGGTCCCAACTCAACGGCAAAGAGTTATTTACAGACCTTAAAACCTTCCACTTGAAGTGCACAAATCACTGCTTTTAGTACAGTCACTATAGTGCAAACATCACCACCACAGTTTAGATTCAGAGCCTTTCCACCACTTTGAAAGGATCCCATGAACTTCTTTGTAGTTGATTCCCTCTTCCAACCTCAACCCCAGGAACCACTGATCTATCTTTCACAGGTAAGAACATTTCATATAAATGAAGACATACACTAGGTAGTCTTTTCTTTTTTATGTTGACTTCTTTCTTATAGCACTGAGTGTGCTGTATTTGAAATTTGAACACCAAGTCTTCTACATTGAATTACAGTATCTATTCTAATGATTTATTTCAGTTGTCTTCCAGCTTACCCAACATCCTCCCTCCGTAAGCCAATAAGGGCTGCATGAACACTCCAGATTATATTCTTAGCTGATTTCCTTTGGTCATTCAAGGGAATCTGGATGACCACAAGAAGATAGAATGCAAGCATTATTATCTCTACTTTCAGCCTGTTTCTAACCTTCTTCCTCCATGTGGGGTACATCAATGCGACCCTTTATCATGTTTGTTTTTTTAAAACATTGGGATTTGAGTGAAAGTTTACAAAGCACATTAATTTTATACTCAACCATTTATGCACATTTTGCTTCATAACACTAATGACAGTACCCACAATATGACTGCACTCTTCCCATTTCCTCCCTGTGAGTCTCATTTTCATTAATCCTCCTGTCTTACCCCTTCCTAACTTCTGGAGTTTTCCCTGGGGTAAATGCTGCTCTTTTACCTTTTCTGGTTGGGTAGTTGAAGGATTGAATAGCTCCCTGATGTTAGTGTTGCTTGGCAGAAAGTCAAACCACAAGGGTGAATTTTGTCCAGGGTCAAAAGGTGGCATAAGGACCATGCTCTTGCGGTTTCTGCCAATCTCTACTGAACTCTACTGGTTTGGGGTTTTGTTCCACATTTCCCCCAACTCTACCCAGGATCTTCTGTCATGATCCCTTTCAGTGTGCTTACCAGTGGTAGCCCGGCACCAGCTGGTTCTTCTGGTCTCAAAGTCAAGGTGACCCTTTTCATTTTCCAGCTGAGACCAACCCTCTTTATTGTGCCCAGCCTCTCCAGCAGTTTGGGAAAGCTGTCTTCTTGGTTTTCTTTCCAGCCTTTTGACTCACTGAATGCCACTTTGGTTTTAGGGCATCTTTATCAGCACCACTTGAGATACCTGCACCAAGATGCCTTGAGTCAGCTCATGAATGGCCCCATCAGAAAGAAGCTCAAAATCATCCCTGAGGATTACTCCTGGGGAGGTATTTATATGACCTCATTACATGCCTTTTATATCATTTGGGGGATAAAAGGGGTCCAATTCAAAGACCTTAATGTATAAAATGGATTTTATTGGTGGCAATGGTATGCAGACTAAACAATTTTATTTATTGTCCGTATCTTCTAAATGGACAAGCAGATATCAGTATAGTGAACAGCATGTCAAAAATTTATTTGATAATCATAAGATCATAGAGTTTGATGGGTGGAGGGAGGCGGGGTGTAGGAAATGGGAAAGATCTGGTGTGAAAAACAATGTGTACAAGCTTTGTAAAAAAAATTTTTTTTAAAGAAAGGGTTGGTGGAAACTGAAATAAAATGTGATTGGTTGTGAACTAAGAATTATTGAAATTTGATGTGGGTATCTGGGAATAATTACAGTTTTCTCTCTTGCATTGTGTAAATTTGAAATTTTTTTGTAGTAAAAAAATGTCCATACTTAAGTTCAAGTTCATAGCAGGTATGATTTCCAGGCAAAGGACCTTTGCAGGGTTTCATACATGCCCATGTACTTGAATAGATTTTGAACACCTTTCTCTGTCTGGTCTTCCATGCATCCTGATGCTGGAGAACTTAATGCATCCAGTCTCAAGACCATGGGTACAGGGACCCTGCCTGCCCATATGACTGGACCATATAAGAGGACTGTATTTTTTTCAGGAGATCACTGATAGAGAAGACTCCCTTTAGCCCCAGATGTGCCTGTAAATGGTTAAGGAAAGACAAGCTGTCCATGGCCAACGTTCCTCAGTGTTCTGATTTGCATGCATGCAGACTTTGGAGTGAGCCAGGGCTGAGTTCATAGCCCAACTTGCCACTGACTAGCCGTTTCATCCTGAGCATATTTCTCAGTCGCTCTGAGCCTCATTTTCCTAAATCATCACAGAAATAAAGCCTTCAGACTCCTTCCCTTCCAAGGTGGTGAAGGAGCAGGGCACCATTGCTTGTCAAGTGCTTGCTTAGTGGAGTAGCTTGCAAATGCATCGAGACTGCTGTGAATATGGTGTTGATAACCACAGGGATCTCTCTTGCACGATCTGTTACCTGAGCTTGTTGTCCACCTGACTTTACTGAGTCCTAGCCCAGAGTGAGAAGCCAGCGGTGGGCTAATGGCAGGTTCCTTACCTTCTATGTAAGAGACTAGGTTCAGTTCCTGGCCCCTGCACCTCGTTTGCAGCTACTTCTCATCTTGTCAGTGCAGGCTTGTCCTCAGCACAGGCTCTTGTGTTGCTTTGATGTCAAGCAGGTTTTAGTGGAGCTTCTGGACTAAGACAGACTCAGAAGAGAGGCGCTGATGCTCTTCTTCTGAAAATAAGCCAGGATCAACACAGTCCTGTCCCCAGCTAATGGCAGGACTCGTGCAGATCTGGGAAGCATTATGTTGCTTTGTGAATGAGGTCTCCATGAGTCAGAACATCTCCCAGGCTGCTAACAACAGCCCTGAATGCATAGGTGTCGGATTTGGGTTTTCACTGAGGCAGCTGTACAAGCTGTACTTGTTCACGACTTAGACCTTGGCCCTAGTCTTTTTTTTTTATTATTATTTTGTGTGCGTGTACCGTCAAATCAGATCTGACTGGTACAGGAGGATATTGCGCCTCCTTCTCCGGCAGAGCATCTGGTGGATTCGAACCGTGTTCCTCTGGGATTGCAGTGCAGCATCTTGCCACTAGGCCACCAGAGCTCCCCATCTAGTCTTATTCCACAAATGAAGAATATAAATATTGGCTTAGAGCCCTTTCATTCCTTAAGAGGATCAGCCCAAAGAATGTCTCCTAAGCCCCTGCCTTCTCCATGGGCGCTAGTCTGCTCTAAACTTAAGTCCCTCCATAAAAGTGGAATCGGCAAGGGAGCTCTGGTGGCCTAGTGGCAAGAAGCTGCACTGAAATCCCAGAGGTATGCGGTTCAAATCCACCAGACGCTCTCCTGGAAAAGGAGGGGCAATCTCCTCCTGTACCAGTCAGATATGATTTGACAGTACATGTGCAAAAAATAATAAAGTAAAATAAAATTTAAAAAAAAAAGTGGAATTGGCTCTCCTCACCGGCTCCTGCATGAATAGACCCCGTGTGCAGTTTGTGCTTCCCACTGCTCCACCAGCCCTGGCCCCGATTTCTGGGTTGGGGAGGGAGGACCTGTCTGTGGAGCATCTGCACCTCCAGTCTTTGCTGGGAGTCACATAGTTGTTACTTTTAGGATCCAGAGGCAAGGATGCTCTGGGCCAGAAGGAGCCTCTGATTCCAGCAGATCCTGAGCTTCTACTTCTCCCCCCTTCTTCCCGTGCAGCCCAGGCTACAAACGTCTTTCTGTACATGGAGGAAGACTTCATGAAGCCCGTCATCAACATCGTGGATGAGCTGCTGGAAGTCGGCGTCAATGTTACCGTGTATAACGGACAGCTTGACCTCATTGTGGACACCATGGGTAGGAGCTGACCCTGAGAGGTATGGGGGGGTGCAGTTTCCTGGATGGGAGCTGGCCTTGGGTGTGTCATTCTTGACGGGCAGCATTTAAATGCCAGGCGCAAGGCCATTTCCTTTTGTGTCAATCTACCCTGACCTTAATTTTTTTTTTAAATGAGAAAACTGTGACTGTGACCCTTCCAACAAGAATAAATCCCTTCAGGTTTGAGTCCTTAGAGTTTAAAGCAAACAAAACTACCATTTCTACCACAAAATAGCTTTTAAAAAAGAAAACATTGTCCCAGCCATTGGACAAATGCACTGTTAAATTAAGGGATGCCTGGTTTTTATGCGACCTCACAGTTAGATGTTAAGCATTGCAAAGTGAGTTAAAGCTAAACCCTAAATGATTTGGGGCAGCTCTAATGGCCTAGTAGTACGGAGTTGCATTGCCAACCCTAAGGCACACAGTTTGAATCTACCAACTGCTCCCAGGTAGAAAGATGAACAATCTACTGCTATGCTGTTTACAGCCTCTGAAAACCCACTGGAGAGTCAGCTTTCAGCTATGAATTGGTTTCCACTTGACATTCAGTCAGACGACAATATAGAACCTGATCATTTTTTTTCCTGCTTCACCCTCCTGTTATGACCCGCCGTTCTCCTTGTCCCTCTCGCTAGGTCAGGAGTCTTGGATACAGAAACTCAAGTGGCCACAACTGTCCAAGTTCAGTCAGCTAAAGTGGAAAGCCCTGTACAGTGACCCCAAATCATCAGAAACGTCGGCTTTCGTCAAGTCTTATGAGAACCTGACTTTCTACTGGATTCTAAAAGCTGGGCACATGGTAAGAGAGCGAGGCAGCCTTTGTACCAGACCTGAAACAGTACCGACAGTGAAGCCTCAGGTTCCCAGTCTGGAGAGGCAAGCAGGCAAATGCACTTGATGACGTGAAGGAAAAATGTTAAGATGGGAGTGAGTGCAGAAGAAAAGTGCTGTGCTAGTTTTCAGTGAGTGACATGAAAAAGTTCCTCAAACTCAGTGACGTAAAACAACATAATTTATTCTGTCACAGTGCTGGAAGATAAAGCTAGTTGAAAGATAAAAACTAGTTGAAGATAAAAATGTTAGTTCCTCTAAACGTCATAAGGGAGAGTTTGTTCCACACTTTTCTCGGAGCTTCTGGTAGCTTCCAGCAAGCTTCGGCATTCCTTGGCTTGCATCCCTCCAACATCATCACATCATGTGCCTCCTCTGTCTCTTTATCTGTTTCCTCTCTTCTTGTAAAGACACCAGTCATTGGCTTAGGACCCATTCTGTGCCAGAATGACCTCATGCTAGCTACTTACATCTCCAAGACCTTACTTCCAAATAAGGTCATAGTCACAGGGACCAGGACTTCAGCATATCTTTTTGAGGGACACAAATCAACCCACAGCAGGTAGCCGGTCCAGCTTGGGGATATAGAGAACTGGTTCCTCAAGGATAGTTAGAACGAGAAGCAAAAAAAGGAACTGGACACAGGAGAGAGGTGTCTTTGTGGAAATGCAGCCCTGGAGAGGGGTGGAGGGCAGTGGCCAGAGAGGAGGCTGGAATGGAGAACTTTGTATAACAAGCTAAATATTCAAACTTTATCCTATGGGAAATTGAGCATTATTGAGGAGTTTTAAGTGAAGGAGTAAAATGACCAGATTTTTTACCTAAGATGCTCCACTCTGGTAGCAGACAAGTGGTGCAAGAATGCTTCATAGAGTCAGCTGAAGACTGTCAGGTAATCAGAAGAGAGATGAGAGGATGGGTGTAATAAAGTGTAGGAATGGAGAGTTGGTCCTGGCTCTCCAAGCAGATCAGGCGTGCTAAGAAATAACAACAAGGGCGCTCTGGTGGCCTAGTGGCAAGAAGCTGCACTGCAATCACAGAGGTATGCGGTTTGAATCCACCAGATGCTGTGCTGGAGAAGGAGGGGCACTCTCCTCTTATACCAGTCAGATCTGATTTGACAGCACACACAAAATATAATAAAGTAAAAAAAAAAACCCACCACAATAAAAACAACAAAAAAAGAAGGCAGAGTTGGCAGGCCGTGGTGATGTGGGGTGGTCAAGAAATGAAGAGCAGCTTTCCTGCTTCCACTCCACCGTCACTGTCTGGGACAGGGTGGCAGTTACTGCGCCAGGTGAGCTTGAATTACCTGTAGGACAGCCAAATGGACGTCAATAGGCACCTGAGAGTGTATATTCCGCATACTATATATGTGTATATATGTGTATATACATATACATATACTATATATGTGTATAAACAATATATAGATCTGGAATCAGATACCTGTTGTCTTTAGAGGTCATATATGGACAAGGGTCCTAGGAACCTGAGAGAGAAGGGCTTTCAAACAAGGCAGAGAAAGAGCAGCCCGAAGCGCAGGAAGGAGACCTTGCAGGAGGTAGGAGGGGTTGGGAGAGAGAAAGGTCCATGGTGTCAAATGCTCCTGAGAATTCAGATGAAGGACTAACTCTAAACGGGGTCATTTAAATGAGGTAGATTTGAACTAAATTTACTCTGATGTCACTAGAAACTATGGCACATATTTTTAGTAGAATATCGGGTTCAGAAGCCAGAATGGAAAAGCTGGAGAAAATAAATGAGCATTGAGGGAGAGAAGACGACTGTTTCCTTTAAGAACCTGGAAGGAGAGCATCCGGCCTTTTACGAAACTTGATCTGTTGAAAAAGAGTGAGCAAAGTGGCTGGACACAGAGAGGAGAGGGCGTTGGTTTTTGGTTTTGGTTTTTTTTTCCCTTTTCTATTTTTATGGCTTTAAGTATCTGATATTAACTGGGTAAAAAGTAGCAGTAGGAAGTCTTAACAAAAACATTTTTTTCTTCTCTTTTGTCTAGAGAGATCCCTGGCAGGGCAGGTGGGAGGAGAAGGGAGCTTGAGGCAGCCACACACACACGTGCCAAGAGTTTGGGCCCATTTCTTCTTGGTCTGTCACATACAGAACAAGAGAGCAGTTGAGGACATCCTTAAAATGACAGTTGGCGACTGTATTAAATTGTCTCAGATTACTTCCTCTTCAGCTGGTTAAATGTCTTGGTGAATCTGCCTCACCCTTCGTGGGACCCTGGCTTGGCAGGAGAGTTGAGGATAGGAGAGAATTCTGGAACCATGTGGTTTCAGACTGGAACATCATCTCTGCCTGCCCTTTATAAAGGAGAAACTGAAGTCTCTACCTCACTCTTTTTGATGAGGAGAGTGCTAAAAGGATTTTGTAAAAATTTTTGTAGAAAGGAATTGTAAAGATCTGAGGGAAACCAAAAATAGACGAGTAACAATATAAAAACTGGGCCGTCGCTGAAACCCAAGGTCTTGGCTGCTTGGTTGGTTTGTATCTGTTTACTGCTTCCCTCTTGGACTTTCCACTCCATATCCCATCTGGAATTCTTCCTACACAGACAACCCTTTAGCATGTTTAGGATCTTCTTCCTCCTTCCTTATACAGGCTGGTGGCTGGTGTCAGGGCTGTAATCCTAGCCCCAATAGACAAAACAGCCCATCAGCCCCCAGAGAAGCAGAAGGGTCTTTCCTAAATGCTACCTTTTCCACGCTCCTTCCACCCCACGTAGTCAGAGCGCAGAAGAGCATGTCATCGAGGTGAGAGATCATTTCACAGAGGAGGCCACTCTTTAAAGAATGCACGTCACAGCTGTTCACTCTGACCCCACCCCGGGAAGACTCCTGGGAGCCTAATACAATGCTGCTCATTTGTAGGTCCCCTCTGACCAAGGGGTCATGGCTCTGAAGATGCTGCGCATGGTAACGGGGCAAGAGTAGGCGGGGCCGACCTGGAGGTGAGCAGACGTGGCCTGGGGACCCAGAGGCTGAACCAAGGACCCGGGGAGCTGTAGGAAGCCCTGTTCTTCCCAGAGAATCTGCCTTTCTGGCCTGTGACTGTGAAGGTTCCTACTGTCCACCATGGAGTTCAAAGGAGTGTGGACTCTGTGGCAACGTGGAAAGCATTTCTATTGCTTAGAAACATATAACATTTTTTAAAAATGGATTTGTTTTAATCAAAATGAAGGACAGTAATTAACTTTTTCCTCATTAAAAAAGCAAATCATGCAATTTGGCGAATGGTATTTCTACGTTTGTATTGGTATATGCTATACATATAGGGAGCTCTGGTGCTTTGTGGGTAAGAAGTTGTGCTGCCAACCCAAAGGCAGGTGGTTTGAATCCACCAACTGAAAGATGGGCACTCTCCTCCTGTGCCATTTACAGCCTCTGAAAATTCACTGGAGGGTCAGCTTTGAGCCACTTCTAGCTGGACAGTATTGAGTTGAGTTGAGTTGATGAATATATCCACGTGTGTAGTTGAGCCAACAGGTGACAAAATTAGGGCAACTTTCTAATCAGAACAAGCACTCAGAAGGAATGAGTCGCTGGTCTATGGGTATCAGAACCGTAGTCTCTGGGGACATCAAAGACCAATTGGCATATCATAGTCCACAAACACAATTTTCTAGGTCCCACTTTGGTGAGTCATCAGAGATGCAGCTCTTGGTCTCTCCCTTCTTGAAACAAAGAAGAGGGAAACAAAGCAACAATGCATAGAAACAGTGAGTCCAGAGGACCAATGGACCGTGTAACCCTGATCCTTCTCAACCCGGACACCAGACAGATGTCATGAATAGATGGTGGCCAGCTATCACTGTTGACTGCTCACAAAGGCTTCATAGTAGAAGGCCCTGGACAGAGTGGGCTAAAAAGGTGGAACAAAAACATAAGAATGGCCAGGCTTACTGGTCTGATAGGACTTACCTCTGTGACTCAGCTTTTAACCAAACAATAGACTGGCCTAGAAGGTGAACAAGAGCATTAGGGAGCTGTTCACTCGTTAGAATCAACCATATAAGATCAAAAGGGCAGCTCTTACCCACATATGAGGCTCAGAAGGCAAGAAGGGGCAGGGTGAAGGCTTGATGGAAATGAGGATCACAGGGAGGGACTGGGAAGAGTGCAGTTGCTTTGTGGATATTTTAATTGATGTCATGAATAAAAATCTGTATGAATGGCTGAATACAAAACCAATCAGTGCTGTTAAGCTTCATTCAAATCACAATTTGGGGGTTAAACCCCCACAAGTAAATCATATGAATTTGGAAGGAAAGAACCAGGTGAACACTTAATCCTCTTCTCAAGGTAGAAAGTGCCCCCTTTTTACTTACATCCTTATCGATGGTTTTTTTCTATATTGCACACATACTTTTTATGAAAGCATAGTCATTAAATGTCATTTTACCATATATAACTTGTTCCTATATCAATATGTCCTAGATACTTTTCCATATTAATAAATAGTCTTCTGTAACTTTTTGGTAACATTTTTAATGTATAATACCTTAATTTAGTTAGCATATCCCTAATTGTTTCTCCTACGTAGTTTCTAGTTTGTCAATAATATGAATAGTAGTACTCTAGTGAGTCACCCTGATAGTTATGTTTATTTACTTCTTTATTATCACCTTACAATACATTCCTGAAAGTATAATTGTGTAGTTGAAAAAGTATTAGTTTGCTTTAAATTTTTTAACAATTCACATTATAAATATATTCATTAGTAAGAAACTGATCTCATAGTCTGTAACAAGTCACACTGCTAACCCAAAGGTCAACTGTTCAAACCGAACAAGCCACTCCTTGGGAGAAAGATGGGGAGTTTCCTCTCATAAAGATTTACAACCTCAGAAGCCAAATAGAATGTCTCTGTGTATCAGATTCAATTTGACAGCAGTGGGAATAAAAAAAGGAAAGAGTATTCATTAAGTAATCTTGCTCATTGTGTAATTGTTTATAGTCAAGTCAGAACCCACCTGTAGCTGACCCTCCAGTAGGTTTTCAGATGCTAAAAAATTCCATGTTTCTCCCACAGAGCATCTGCTGGATTCGAACTGTCTACCTTTGGGTTGGCAGTGCAATTCCTTACCACTAAGCCACCAGAGCTCCTCCATTGTATAATAGAAGAATTATAACTAAAAGCGAGCCTGTTGTTGGGGTGATTCTTACTCAACATCCCACGTGTTACAGAATAGAACTGTTCCCTAGGGATTTTATGGTTGGACTCTTTATAGGAACAGATCTGCAGCACTTTCTTCCACAGAACTGCTACGTAAATTTGTATCACCAACCAATGTTATGTGTGGAACTCGTATCGACCCAATATGAAAGAATGGAAGTGCCCCAGGAGGTTTTCTGGGTCTTCATGGGTGAAGGAAGTGGTGGGTTCAGATTGACAGCATTTTGGTTAGCAGCTAGCTGAGTGCTTGACTATTATTGTACCACCAGGTTCCTTTTGCAGACTCAGTAAGTTCACTCATTAACCACATGTTGGCATCGTCATTAAGTGCTCAACTGCTAACTGAAATGGTGGTAGTTCTAAACCACCAGCCACTCCAGAGGAGAAAAGACCTGGCAAGCTGTCCACAAAAAGATTTCAGCCCCAAAAACCCGATGGGGCAGTTCTTCTCTGTCAGTTTAAAGACTAAGGTGCGCCTGACCCAGGCCTTGGTATCTTCAGTTGCTTCTTATCCATCTAAAAGTTGGACTGCGAATACAAAGACTAGAGAATAATTGATGAAACCTTTGAATTATGGCCAAGAGTGTTGCATATACCATAGATTGCCAAAAGAATGAACAAATCTGTCTTGGCGGAAGTGTAACCAGCATTCTCCTTAGAAGCGAGGATGTGAAGGGAGCTCTGGTGGCCTAGTGGCAAGAAGCTGCATTGCAGTCCCAGAGGCCCTTGGTTCGAATCCACCCGATCCTCTGCTGGAGAAGGAAGGACAATCTCCTGTACTAGTCAGATCCGATTTGACAGTACACATACAAAATAATAAACAATTTAAAATCTTTTTAAAAAAAGAAGCAAGGATGGTGACGATTCATCTGACATACTTGGGTATATTTTCAGGAGGAAACAATATTTTGGGAGAGACATCATGCTGGAAAAGGTAGAGAGTGGGGAAAGAGGAAGACCCTCAGTGAGAGGGGTGGACTCGGTGCCTACCACCAGGTCCAGAACATGACAGACAGTGAGGATGGTGTAGGATGGTGGTTCAGAGGGGTGCAGTGAACCACAGTGGACCTGAGGGCACCAAGCAACAACAGCATGAGTCAGAACTGACTTAACAGCAAAAGGTAGTAGAATGCAAGCCATTTGCATCACTCTGTGACCTAATGTAAGGATAGAGGAATCATTTGCTGCTTGGTAATGTAGCTTCTGTTCAGGAACGAGAGGGGTTTCCGTTCCTCCTCTTGGGCTCCAGCTTGTGTCTGGATTCAGGTTTGTTCATGTTCTCCTCCCCTCCCCTACTCCCATTTTATATCCGCATTCCCTTTCCACCTGCCTGCCCTGTGGACTCAAGCAACAGCGTTAGATATAAAGACGACTTCCTGAATGAGACTGCTTAACCAGCTCCCACAGATTACGAAGATCAAATCCCTACAACAGATTCACAGAGAGAGAAAAATATGCATGTACGGGGCATCCCTGTGGTTGATGAATACAGTATTTGGTGAAGGAGTGGAACAAAATCTTAAGAATGAGTTTCCTAGGGAGCTCTGATGGCCTAATGGCAAGAAGCTGTGTCGCAGTCCTGAAGGCACATGGTTCAAAACCACCAGGTGCTCCGTTGGAGAAGGAGGGGTGATCTCCTGTGCCAGTCAGATCTAACTCGACAGTACATAACAAGGGAAAAAAAAAGAAAGCATTTTCTGAGTTGATTCTGGATTTTCTGTACTTGCTCTTGTTGTTGTTGTGTACCATCAAGTCAGAGCTGACCTATAGCTAACCCTCAGGTGGGTTTTCAGAGGCTTTTATTCGCAGGACAAGAGATTGACCATCCTCCCCCTGTGGAGCAGCTGGTGGATTCGAACCGTGTGCCTTTGGGGTTGCAGCGCAGCTTCTTGCCAGTAGGCCATCAGAGCTCTGGATAAATTAGATGGGGAAGATTAACAATCTTTGAGAAGTTGAACTATATGAAGAAGAATAGGGGATCAGGATTGAAAAACGACCCATCAACAACTTTGCTTTTCAAGTAAAGAGTTCTTAAAACCTTCAATATGGATTGCGTCTCAACCGCAAGAAAAGAAAAATTCACACCACCGGACCAACAGATGGAGGAAAGATCGGAGTTACCAATGATTTCATTTTACTGGAATCCCCAGCATCAGTCAAGAAATAAAAAATGTGTTAAATTGGGAAAATCTGCTGCTATGGACCTCTCCAAAGTGCTAAAGAACAAGTATGTCAGTTTAAAGCATAAGGTGCACCTGACCCAAGCCATGGTCTTTTCAATCAAAAAGTTGCATAATGGATAAGAGTGACAGAAGGAGAATTAATGTCTTTGAATTGTGGTGATGGAGAAGAGTACTCAATATCCTATGGACTATAAAAGGGCAATCCTAGAGGAAGTATACCATGGACTGCTAAGAGAACAAACAGGTTTGTCCTGGAGAAAGTTAAATCAGGCTGCTCTTTTAAGGCAAGGATTCTGATGCTTCATCTGACATACTTTGGGCATGTAGTAAGGAGGGACCAGCCCTTGGAGAGGGACATCATGCTTGGGAGAGTGGAGGGACAGCGCAGTAGAGAAAGACTCTCTATGAATAGATGGATTCAGTGACTGGGGTAATGGGAGTAGGTGTGTCAGAGACAGATTGACACAGGATGGAGCAGGGTTTAGGGCTGTTGTACATAGGGTCACTATGAGTCACAGGCAACTTGATGGCACATAACAACAACAGAGGAAATAGAACCAGCGTACTCATTAGAG